GATTGGCAATGGATCACAGTTGATCTGGGCGGCGGGAATAGAAACTTGGCATGAGAAATGGACACGCACCCGGCCAGCTCGTGAAAGTGGCCAGAGTGGTTATTCTGGAGACAACAACTCATGAACTGTCGCACCATCGCACTATAAGTACCACTCGCTTCGTTTGTAATGATGGGTTCGGATCGTGAGTGACAGACCTGTCTTTCCCGCGCGTGGCCGTCGTGAATGCCTCCCGTACCCACGGGCTCGCCACAGCCCAAAGGCTCATTGCGCAGCTGAGCCTCCCAAAGGCCGACACATGTCTGGACGTGACTTTCTAGATATCAGCTCAAATTTGATTGTGCCGCCTCTGTTGAAGTGGACTGTGGTATTTGAGGTGGGGGCCGTGACGTATGCGACGCCGAAAGATTGCGCCGCCCAATTGTGGGGGGGATGCATCCAAAAGAGCAACAAATTGCGCAGTGGCAAGGCACCTTGTCGGCGTTCTGAGAGTGTGTGTCTCCTTTGCACACATGTGGTGGCGGTTGGCCGGCCAGTTTGGCTCCACAGCCAACGGTTTGAGGTCCTAAACCTTCGGATTTCGGCATGGCGCATCCACAGCATCCCCATCTTTCAAGTTGCATGGCATTATAATTGAATTTGTGCGTTTGGTGTTGACGCCTTGTCCAGATTTGGGACTGTGTGCGCTTGATTTCCCAAGGCGTGCGAACAGTTTGCGTCCAGATTTCTGTGTCTGAATCGGCAGCAACAAGCACGCAAAGTGGCGGGGCATTCCTGATTCCGTTCACCCCTTCACGTTTGCCCACGAACTCAGGCAGGAAATAGGCAAACGTACTCGGATATCGCGCCTCATTCGTGTCTTCATGGGCTCTGGTCCTCGCTGCAATTACTATTGACGCCAAAACGTGAAGGCACCGTCGGTCAGTATGATGTATGGGAAAGAGCCCGCCTTCTGGCTTCAGAGCCACAGGCCGCCATTTCGCAAATGGAACACTGATCCTGTAGACGATGGATGCAAAATAACCAACTTAATTCCCTGTGAATAGATCTAACCTGAATAGTGTCCTACAAGACAAAAGCAATAAGTTTGCGACAGTACGCAATCATTCACCACGAACTGCACATCGTTGATAATCCCTTTTGCACTTACAGCACGGAATCTTTTCACCTAACCAAATCCTGTGTGCAAAGCTTCGTCAACCAACTATGTGCATGGTCATCTGCATCAAAAAATATATTCAGGCACGGAACAGCAAACGCAGAACATATGCAGCTGGACATGGCTTCCAATGGCATCGATGCCATTGCGGAAATTCGAGGATCCCACAACTGCTATCCTCAAACGCTTCGATTGGACTGGCTGCCACGTAATTGTAAAAGCGCCATTGCGATTGCCAGAAAAGTGTGCGCTTGAATGCAACATGTAAGGATGTGCTAACAACCTCATAAAATAAACTCGCATGTCATTACCATAATCAAGGTTGCAAACTTGTGTCTGCAGCTACTCGACGTACACAACACGATCCTCCAATTGTGTCAGAGTAGCTGGCAACTCTGCAAAACTCCAGCATTCTTCCAAATCCAGCATGGAACGTTGTGCCAATGTGTCTGGTAACTCAGTGAGATTCGTACATGCTCTCAAATGCAACTCCTCAAGTTTTGTCAATGACACCAAACTCTCTGGCAGCTGCCTGAGTCTCGTACATTCTGCCAGAACTAGCTGTCGCAGCTCTGCCAACACCCCCAAACTGGCAATTGCATGAGATTCGTGAATCCATGCAACGCCAGCCATCGCAGTTGTGCAAGCGACGCCAGGGTGTCTGGCAACTGCTGGTGATCCTTGCAAGCCATCAAAATGAGCACAGGAAGCTGCGCCAGCGAGCTGATCCTGTCCGGCAATTGCTTCAATTTCATGCATCTCTCGAGTCTTAGTTCCCGTAGCTTTGCCAGCGGCCCCAAGTTGTCGGACAGCTGCAGATTCGTGCATCCGATACAGTCTACCTTGGCAAGCTCTGTCAGTGACCCAAAGCAGCCTGGAAAGTTAGTCAGATTCGTGCATTCAATCAAAGCCAGCGTGGCAAGCTGTGTAAATAGGCTGTCCGTCAATTGCTGTCCGTCAATTGCGTGAGACTCAAATCTAATTTGGTTAGCTGTGTCAACGACCCCAAGCTGTCTGGCAATTGTGTGAGATTTTCGCATTCATTCAAATCTAGTTCAGATAGTTGCGCCAACAAAGCCAGATTATATGGCAACGCCGTGAGATTTCTGCATCCCCTAATATTCAGCTTGACAAGCCTCACGAGAAAACCCAAGCCTTCTGGCAACTTCGTGATATTCTGGCAACATGCCAAATCCAGTTCCTGTAAATATGAGATGGAGATAACCCCATGAACTGCGATCCCTACACAATCACCCAGCTAATCCTGGCACAATGCCGTATAACATGCAAGTGAGACAGCCACATGTACATCGCCAGTTATTTCCTCGCACTACTGCATGATCAATTGCCTCAGCACATCCAAACCAGACAGCAATTTGATCCCATGACATGCGACCTCGTCAGCATCATTCAAGTCAAGGTGTTCGAGAGCCGTCAAAAGTGCAACGGACTTCATCCCCTTGCCTGTGATTCGCAAGCACCCGTGCAAGTCCAAGTAGTGCAGTCTTTTCGTTCCCTCTAACGACCGCAGCCCCCTGTCTGTGATCCTTCAACAATTGGCTAGACTAAGATGCCATAACAATGTCAGACATGCGAGTGACAACAACCCCTCATCTGTCATGTTCACCCACCGGTAAAAATCAAGATGTTCAAGGGCAGTCAAGTGGCCCATTGGCTTCAATCAATCGTCTGAATCCCCATAAAAACCACTCAGATTTAGGTGTCTCAGTGACACTGATGTCACCAAGTTTTGTATGCCTTGCACTGCTAACTGTTGCCTTACAGCATGCCTCCTTCCAAGCGCAATGGCCAGGTTGATTCCATACTCAGATATTTTCCTGTTGTTGTCGAGGTCCTTTCCCATCAACAAGAGTTTTGCAGGCACATAGGGATGCCTGCCAACTCCTCGATCTTCCTTTTGATCACTTGGATTACGTCACACAGATCAATTTGCAAGATGATGCTTCAGCCTTCAAGAGTACTCACAAAGATTTGCAGGCGTTCACGACGTGGTGCATGCCTGTGGGGAAGCCGTGTTGGCCTCGAAGGCGAGGTATGCTGCAATATCTCGACCAACAGCTGCAAGAGAACGATGGAGCGCGCAGCATGCTGCCCAGTCTTCATTGCCTTGTGCAAGGGGCATGAAGGTGGCACAACAGACACTGCCCAAGTGCGCTCACGATTACAAAGCACGACACGGCAACAATTGCAGCACACAAGGTGCAGTCGCGAAGCGTAGTGGCCTTCGCTTTAGCCTGTGCTCTATGTAGCCAACGAGTAGCGTGTTTACCGGGCATCAGTATCCACCCCCAATTTAGTATCCACCCCCTTCTTTGGGGATCGAAACCACGTTAGTATCCATGACCCGGTGATAGTATCCGCCCCCAAACCTCATCAGAGTAGAAAAACGAGGGAAGGCATGGATGTCGACATTCCCCCGTCTGGGCCAAATTGCATTCGCTGCGATTCACGCATCGATGATGACGATCGGGTCGGCATGGATGCCGCTGGGTGAGAACTTGGAAGGATCACCGCGAAAGGCTGTGGGTTGAGAGGCTGCCGTTGGGGCTCTTAGCACAGAATCGCCGGGCGGCGACCGACACTTTGCATTGCCAATCCTGCGTTCTGCGCATGTGAAACTTTGACATGCCCACCCCGTCAGGGATCTGTCGGGATCCGGGCGGTGCATGCCGCAACACTTGCATGTGTTGCAATTTGCAACTTGCAAGCGTGCACACATTGGCACCTGACACCAGTCGGAAAGTCTGCACGAAACTGTGCTAGTGTGGCTCCTGATGCGCTGTGCGCTGAAACACGTGAGACTGGCGCTGGGGCTCTCTTCTTTTGCAAAGTTTGCCTGGACTCGTGCTTGTTACGCTTGTCAGCAGCACGCAGCAAAACAAGCCCTGGCACCTCAGCAGATGATTTACTGAGCTGGAATCGACAGCTCGATTCCAACTGGGAGCTGTCCCACACGCAGTTTGGCTCGTTCCGAAATTTCGTATTCATGGAGGCGCCGTACATGCGTGCCTGCAATCGCTGCTGTGATCAGCGGAACACCGTGATATACGCAATCGCCCATCAGTGCGCTGGAAGCGTGCCCGACACCCTGCGAGCATGGGAAAGGATTCGAGGGCTCAGGGCTTGGCAGGAAAGCCAGCCGATGGTTGTCTCTCTGCAGACATGTACCTTTCCGACCCAGCTGCCGCAGTGCTGCGCGTTTGCACAAAGCCACGAAGGTGAAGGCCGGGACAAACCTTCTGGGCGATTAGGGTACCAGGCCTCAAGTCCCGCGCTGGGTGCATTGATAATTACATTAAATACGAACAGAACCTTGGCCTCTCGGGAACTCCGAGCTCAGTGGGGCCAATCTGCGTACGCATGCACCCCGCTCCCTCCACGCTCCAACAGGAGAACAGGAAACAAACTTGAAGTTTGTTCAACAACTGCACGGGATAAACAAACAGATTTCAGACTGGGAGGAATCAGCCCTGCCGCCTGGCTTTCATTCAACCAGCATGGCCGTGTGCCACCACCCAGCCGAGACGTCAGTGATTGGGCCCGCGGCGTCCCTCACTCGTCGAACGTCAACGCGACCCTCAGCGTCCCGCCCCGCTCCCAGCTGCCCATACTCGTCCCAGCCCCACGCGTAGGCCCTCTTCGACCGCGTAAGGGCCACGGTGTGCCTGGCGCCGCAGCACACCTGTGATGGAAAGAGCAACCCTTCAGACAACACTGAGACTAACTATGGGCACATTGTTCTTGTGAGGCTGGGTGGCGTCATAACCCTCGGTGGCTGACACGCAATTCATGGAATTTCCCTTTATGCTGCTGGGAGCTGAGTTGGGTTTAGTGAACGCTATGTGATTAAGTTATTCATCATCACCAACCCTTAAGACAAAATCGTGGGGAGAATCCGAGTCGGCTGTAAATCATATTCATGGTCGATCATTGGAGATGCAAGGAAATATCGGACTTGCCTTTCAGGAAAAGTGAGTGGAAGACATTGCATTGGGCTCATCTCTACTTCGCCGAAAAGGGTGTTGCTTGGTGATCTGGTCTGCAACAGAAGTGCTCAGACACAGCTTACTGTGCTCATCAATGATTTCTGAAATTTCAGAATCGTTTGCAAAATGCACTCGGATCCAAGTATTGGATTTAAGTTTTGCACAGAGCCTGTGTGAAGTGGGCATTTGGTTTGCCTGTGCCACTCGCCTTCACAACATCCTCGGCATCCAACACAGGACTCTCAAGGAGTGTCGCACGGAAGGCTGAGCGACCTTCCACCCCAAGTTGGCCTTCGCCATTCGTTCCCCACACATACACCGCCCCTGCATCTGTGCACAATGGCAACTGTTGAAAAAACCAGGTATGCCCCTCACAAGAATGGCATCCCCTCCCAAACACTAAGGACTGGGCTCCTTTCAGCAATTCGCTGGCATCTGTCTGATTTTGATTCCACCCTCCCAAGGAGGTGCAGAAGTGCGAAAGCGCATCAAGACCAGCTGCAAGGCACGCTACAGTGGGTACCATGAAAAGCAATGCAGCATGCAAGCACTGGGCATCTGCATCCAAATGCTCTGCACAGAAGCTCAATATCATTGGTGAGCTACAGGGCAGTGGCCACATTTTGCAGCCAAAACCAAACAACTTCTGTGTGTGTCAGATGCACCCAGACACGCTGTGTCTCCATTGTAAGCACCACCCGAAGGGATGGGTGTCTGCCCCCAAGACAACTGCCCACATTAGATTTCGACACCTGGGAAAGTTGCGAACCTTTCATGATAAAATAATGCAGCATTTTACCCATACATTGCTTGATTGAGGTTGTGCTCTGGGCATACATGACATTGAATCCAAAGGAGTTGCGGCATCATGTCACAGTCAAGCATGTCACAAATATGCATCATAGCAATGGCATGCTTCAACCTTGCTTGGACCACTCTGACACAGTGGCATAGCAGTGCAGCATTTTCAACTGGAAATCGAGCTGAAACCCACTGATACTTGCCAAAGGGCCTACAGCAAGGGCTATCAGCACCTCCATGTGCACCAAACACTTCACCATTCATGAAAATGCTCCGCCAGCCTCACATTTCACACATCGAGTTAACTCCTTTTCAAAGCAACAATGCTATGCTTGTGCTTGCCTGTGCAGGCACTGGTGTGCCCATGGCCTGCTCCAACGTGCGTGACCATCAGTCCACCTAGGTCAGCCACAATTGTTGGAGATAGGACGTCTGATGTGGAACCTTGGCCGCACTGGCCGTACAACGACCAACCCCAACACAACACTTGGCCATCTGCCAACAGAGCCACGCTGTGCCGGATCCCACAAGCCACCTGTAGTGCTGAACACGCCCACTTTGGGTGAGCTGATGCAGAATGGTCCAAGAAGGCACAGGTATCACCATTTGCCTTGGACCCCGACTGATGAATGAGACAATGCTGAAACATACATTTCAGCAGTGATGGGGTAAACATGGACTGAAACTGTGTAAAAGGGGTGGTTGTTGCCAGCCCCAACTTTTACGAATATCAATGATGTCTTACACACAATGATGAATTGATGTACAATTCACTTGATGCAATGGTTATGCAATCTGGGGTTTTGTTGCTGGCCTAGTTGCACCACCTCAATGCCTCCCCTCCCCACCCCCCACCCCACCCACCCCACCCACCCCCCCACACACACGCACGGTGTTTTCACAGCACATTTGCACATGTGGTGATGAATTTGAGAAAGAGTAAATGCCAGAATGTCATTTTGTGTTGGCAGTGTACAGTCGCATGGCAAGGGGTGAACACACTAATTAATACGGAACCGGAACTTAGCCAAGGTGCATGTGCCAGAAGACAAGTGTGTGTGCAGTTCCAGAAAAGAGAGACCAGCCATTGGACATATGGTTTGCAGCAGTCGCTGGCGTCCATGCCAGTCCAGACAGCCAAAATGATTTGTAGACAACAACAGATGTATGGATAACATGGCAGTTGCCATCCAATGCTTGCCTGCTTGCATGGCTGGCAGCCATGGAGGCTGCTTGCGTCAGGCGCCAGGACACCCTGTGGGCAGCTGGTGTTGTCCCTCCTGCCTGTGCCAAGCTGCCCATTCGCTCCGCAGCCCCAGGACCAAACCATTCCACCAGCTGCCAGTGCAAGCACGTGGCCTTCACCTGCCGCAATCTCCTCAACCTTCACACCCTCAGCCAGCAATCCCCACTTTTGTGGGCGATCTATGTAGTCCCTGTGGTGTAAAGCCTGGCTGTCAAGTGAACTGCATTTCTGAATGTCGTTTAAACCACACAACTTCATGCAGTGGGCAACTCTTCCTCAGTAGGAACTGGTGGTGTAGTTGCAGGTTTATTTTCATTCAGATCCCCTGGTGGTGTAGTTGCAGGTTTTTTTTCATTCAGATCCCCTGGTGGTGTAGTTGCAGGTTTTTTTTCATTCAGATCCCCTGCTTGACGGGAGGTTTTGGGCTGATGAAATTTTCATTCCTGCACTGGCCTTTGCAGCTCATCAGCCCATTCCGTACATGCTGATGGGCAACAATGGACCACATAACTCTCGCACTGCAGGGTGAAGGCAAGGACTGTTGGTTAAATTCAATAGCAATTGAACAGCCCTTTCCATGTGTAGGGTCATGCGCATCGATATCAACAGCAATGAAATCCAGCCCTGTTTGCACAGGTGGTTGGTGGTGGCGAAAATGGGGCAAATGGGTGTTGACTGCCTTGCGAAAACACATGTATGAACACCAGTCCATACACGGCACCCAAACAGCAGTTTAGCAAGGGGAATTTGGTTCTCCACTCACGCTGGACCTGCTGTTTGGACTCTCTGGATAAAATTCTCCTCAGGGAAAGCAACTGTTGGGGTCACTGAGAGCCCATTGAATTGCCAAAAGTGGCTTGTTGTTCCAACTAGCCCGAATATGTTCGGTATGTTCAGGGCAGCTCCCACACTTCAATCCACAAATGTGAAGCACTTCAATGGCAACCGATCACATTGGGAATATTGCTGCGCTTTCAGCATGGGCTCTAAGTGCATCCAACAGGCAAACAGACAATCAGTGCAGTACTACAGAATGGAGACAACAGATATTCACAGGTCAACCATTCGCTCTGCATTCGCTGCAAAAGACATCTGAGAGTTCTATAACCCCCAGTCTCCTCTGTTTGACAGCTTTCATTGGATTTAAGGGGCTGAAACCCAGGCAGGGGTTTGGGGCTTCGGCTTTTGGCCTCCAGCACTTTTGATTTCAGGGCTTAAGGGTCCACGAGTGCCTGCCCATCGCAATGCCAAGCCAGGATGACCGGCTAACCCCGCGGATTTCCTCTTGTTGTAAGGGCTCTGTCCCACAGACAGGGCAAGAACATTCACGCCTAGCTGCAGCTCCCAGACCCCGCTCATGTCTCAGAGTTGCAGGAAGGGTGAAGTCGGGCGCGGACATGGATCGCATGCGTACTGGAAGCACCCGGACAACCTGGATAAAATGCACTCTCTATTTTTGTCACTTTGTTGTCTCCCCATTGTCTCTTTGTTGTCACTATTACCACTAATCTCCCTTCTATTGCAACTCCCCTGCCACCTGATGACTAATCCACACCCTCGCCATCAGAGCCAATCAAGAACCCCGCTCACATGCCTTCCGCGGCCTCATCGCCCCCGCTCCCGCGCGCCACCTGGCCCCAACCGTTCCAGCCCCACGCCACCACGCCGCCGTCGCGATCGGCGCCCGCCACGAAGTCCCAGCCCAGCGCCGCGCACGCCAGCCCGGCCACCAATCCTGCCGGCCGCGCGAGTTCATTTTCGGTGCCCAAGCCATCCCAGATCAACAGCGAGCCGCTCGATGGGAGCGCCGCGCAGACGCCCCAGCCGCCAGCGCAGAGGACGGGCGCCGGGTCATGGAGTTCGATCGCCGTCGGCGTCCCCGGAGCGTCGTGCAGGTAGCCGGACACGACAAGCATGGGAGTCGAAAGAAAAGGGGCACAAGAGAGCATTGTCCCCAAGTTGAAGTGCGGATGGTCAAGAGGATGTACATTAGAGATGTCTTACTTAGAATCGAACCGGGTACAGTAGGGGTACCTATATAGCGCCCCCCTAATAGCGCCCCCGGCCCCCAACAGCGCCCCCTTTTTGGCTTGTCACCATTTTTTAGTGCTTTATGCAGCTTCGCTGCGCAGAGGGGCCTCAAGCTACTATTGCGGCAACCAAGCACACCCAAGAGAGGTGTCTGATGGATGGATGGTGCGGTTGCTGTCTGTTTCTGCGAACTTGGCATATCCCGGATGGGCGGACGGCATGTCTGGTGCATCCATTGTGGGGCCCGGGCCAAAGGCCTCCCTGGGAGGCCAGGTTAGGTGTGCGTTCCGTGACGGATCTCCATCTATGCATAGCGAAGTGGGCACTGCCTGCCTGGGCTCCTTATAGCTAGCGGAATGGAGGGATAGGGAGGGGTGCCCAATGCCACGGTGTCCCCTTTTTCAATACGCAAATTGCTGCAGAATCTAGGGCCAATAGAGGCCATCTCACAAACGAGCATTCTGCGCAAGCCTTACCCTTGCCTCTAAGGGTTGGTAGGCGGGAGTGCCTGGCAACCGAGTCAAGGCCGATTGATGGCACTTGCGGGTGCCAATCAAGGCAACCACGTGTGGCACCGTTTGGCGCCAAGGGGGAGGAGCAATGACGAGAGTGTGAGGCCGCGTTTGGCCTTCCACTCCCGCCTTTTTGTTGTGACTTCAGTGCCCAGTTCTTTAACGCCGCACAACTATTATTGACCATTGGCATTCGGCCACGTTGCACCTACTATTCTAAGCCATGCAACTTGCACACGTGGGAGTCCCTGGCTCTGGGCGACCTGCAGCACAGGTGGGGAACGGTGGGGCGCGTTCATTGTGTGATGCGCCGCATGCAACGATGCAAGCACTCGGATGCAAGGACATCCCACCAGGACATACACGTGTGGTCGTCCACGAGCAAATAAACAATGCTACGCAACTGTGCCTATCATACAATGTATGGCGAGATTTCAACTTTGCAATGCACTGCAAGATTCATTACATGCTTTGATAATAGTGCTCTGGGTGACCAACAAATAGTCATCTAAAACTCCACAAAGGCAACTTCTCACTATAGCTCAACGAACATCTCATAGACCAAAATACAAGCCCTCTACACATGGTCATCTGAAGGGTTTGAGGAACTCGTTCAGCTGCGTTTGCATCTTCTTTTTCTTGGCACTTGTGTGCGTTAGAAACTCTTGCCTGCTTTTGTACAAAATATCCACTGCCACATCCAAACTTGCTTTGGTAGCAAGAACTTCGAGGACACCAAAATGACTCGCTATTTCTGGGTATGTAGACAATTGAAATCGCCCATCTCGCACTTCATGGTGTGCATCATTTGTTTCGTCCACATATTCTAGGGCCATCTCATCGCTCCCTTCAACTAGTTTTTCTATGATTGTCAGCTCCCCTTGCAGCTCATGAAAAGCATCATCTGCCACTGCTTCTGATACATCCTCGTTATCCTCAACGGACACCCATGCTTCCATATCATCAATTGCTTGGAGAATCTTCACAGAATCTCTGTCTTCTTCCCCAAATTCTTGACTTGTGGCGGACGCAGCCATGGCTCGCATACCATCAATGCCTTTTGATATCCTTCGAGCACGTCACAGAAATGTTAAACATTTCTGCAAGTCTGGTCTTACTGCCTTGGCATTATAATTTGAGCGCAGCCCTATACACTTCAACTTTCTTCTCCAAAGTCAATCTGGTCCTTTGTCGTACGTGTGCCTGCATTGTTTTTTGGCCAATCCTGATACTACTTCCACCAGCTGGAACTGCATCAGGGACAGCAACCATCGTTGCATTTATAGAGACACCTGAATGCGACCCACCACGTTCATGCGCTCCAGCTCCTGCCCTTTCTCTCTCATCATTGTCAGACAAATCTATTTCCATGTCACTGCCAGAATACTTGTCGCCGCTAGAAGTTCTGCCTTCCATGAAATCCAGGTCACAGGGGCTTCCATCATCGTAGTCGCCCTCATCGCCATCAAAAATGCTCTTGACCGGCTGCTTTGGCATCACAGCCGATCTCTGCTCCAGCCGCTTTGATGCTCGCACCAGCCGACAGGTTGTGCAGTACGCCTCAAACAACAGCTCCCCCCTTGCAAATCCTTACCACACGAGTAAGATCTGCACCATGCATGCATAGGGACGTTGCAGCCAAGGCAATTGTGAATGCCACTAACCCCAGCACTGATTTGGCAGACAGGGCACACCAGTTGTGCATCCATCGCACGCCTGCGGTGATCACAACAGCACCGCCACGCTGCTGCGCTCCCACATCACTAAGCCGCCCCCCCACCACGCTGCCACACTGCCACTTGATGCCGTCGCCAGGCGCCACCACAGCGCCAACAGGTCACTACATAAGGTCATATTGACTAAAACTACAATTAAATGCAGTAAAACAAAGTTAACACAATAGCGCCCCGGCCCCCAATAGCGCCCCCTTTGTGGCCATGTCACCGGGGGGGGCGCTATATAGGGATCCCTACTGTCCCTCTGATGGGATGTCTCATTGATCTACCAGCCAGGGGTGAGGAAGGGCGTGGTCCAACCCGTTACATGGAAGAAAACAGCCTGTTTGCGATGCCAACTGCGATACCATTTGACACAAATCGATGCCATCACAGCCCCTTGTATGCCATCGCACTCACTGTGACGGCATCAATTTTTGTCAAAATGGCATCGCAGCTGGCATCGCCAACGTGACAATTTCTACCCGTGAAATCACTTAATTAACTGATCAGCCACCCAAAACCCATAGCTCCTAGGGGGTGTGACCGTATCCTGGATACTTACATCCAGGATATGCAACATTTTTTTGGCGTATGTCAGATTTCGACGTGCTGCTTGGCTCAGCACGAGACCCCAATGGAGAGCGTTGGTGGGGCGCCGTGATGAAGTCAATGGATACGTCAATATGGAAGCGCGTGAAGAAGTAGTTTGGGTGTTGTTCACGGTGGCGAAAACACAACTTCATCATGAACCAATGCTGGCGGAATAGGATGATTCGTTTTCAATGCATCAGTGCATCCTGTTTGGAGTGGCACACTATAATTGCAGACTCTGAAATAACTCTCTGAGAGCCAATCAGGGAGAATTAGATGTGGTGAATGGATAGATGGAGCCAGCTTGCGAAGATATCCATGATATCCTGCATTGGACATTGGGTGACGAACAGCACTCACACATATTTAAAGATGACTTAGCTTCTCCAATGGCTTGCATGCATCATTCCAAGTGACCAATTGACTTTGGATCGTGGCCGTCGGGATTGCTGCAGCTTAAGAGCCCTAGAACCCCAAGCCTGAAATTTAGCACCCCTATTCCTCCATTGAGTTAAACAGTACCATCATCCTTCGGTCACCCTGATCTGACGGTCGTCGGGACTAGAAAACCACATTTTAGGTCCGCCGAGAGAAACAATGGACTTCGGCCAGAAACAGGTACCACATGGGCAAAAGATAAATAAATATATTATATCCCTATATAGGTTATGGGGTTATTATAGGGTTATTTGTTTCCCTACATAGGGTGCAATTATACCCTATATAGGGTTTCTTACGTGCGAAACACTATCCATCTACGATGTGTCGCGCCAGGGATCTGCCAAGCAGCGGATGGTCACCCGTTGAAGGCGCAGCGCAGGAGTCTGCTGTGCACTGGGGACCGCCAGGTGGTTCGCTGGTTCCTGACTCCGGGGAGGTCCGATGCCAGTAAAAGCAGCTCCTGCGGTTTTCTGGCAAGGTGGGGATGGTGCGGGAGCACCTTGTGCAGCACTATGCCCTCCTTAGCTGGCAGCCACCCAACATGCCCGCCTGTACCATGCACGTGCTATGTTGTATTTCAACGGTGTAGCCCTGGACGCCAATTTCCTGGCTCCCCTCGCCTTGTCTTGCATGATGCAAATTGCATGATTTTTTGTCCTAATTTCTATCCTCATAAACATGTGCTGTGGACTTCAATAGATTAAGGAACGCAAAATATAAGCGTGCCTTCTGCGCTACTGCATGCATGCGCTGCACCATCCATTCCAGGCACGAAATCCTGGCAGAGCAGCCCGATGCATGCATAATGTAGTGCCCTGTTGGAGAAACTGACGTACTTGCACGCCTTCAGTTAAAGGAGGTGCAGCACCTGCATGGCTGAGCCAGCCTGAGGGCAGCCTGTCGAGAGCTTGGAAGCAAAAGATCGTGCACAACGATATAACATGTGTTGGAAATTACATAAATTGTAATAAATAAATGAGCAACCAACAAGCAATTTTCCTCCCACCAAAACCGGTTCATGAATCAGAAGTAATCCTGAACCGTGCATTCCAACAAGCCCGCTACTGGATATAACAACAGTGTGATGCAGGATTGATGATTGCAACTATTGCGTCAACACTCTCATGTTAGAATTATCATCCTGGGATGCATGAATAAAGTACAAGGTGTTAGCTTATGATTGCTGTCGTGCGCTAAAATGCCATTATTCTTTAAATCGTCACTCACTTATCACTAATTAGCAGGCCCATGTGCCACTGCAACAGGCCTTCGGAAGGTTCTCAACGAACGACACCGGCACATAATTTCCCCCAGTCTCCCAGAATCTATTGATCGGACAAAAATGTCACCGAAGGCTCCTAACATCGGACCCCATCGTACAATGGGTGCTAATGGGGTAAATTAGCAAGCGATCATGTAGTTCACTTTCACCATTGTTGCCCACAGCGGCAGCTGAAATTGATAGATTTTCTGCTCTGAGTCTATTGTCAACTTTATTTTTCAAGACGACAACTGAAGCTGGCTTTTTGTGACCTAGCATAAACGACGTTAATGTATTACTGTGATCCCAGGCGGAGGAGGGCATCGCCACAGATATGGAGCACAACATGTACAGCTGGAGGA